CTGGTGTGTTATTGTCATTCTGTTCATGTCGTCACCATTGAAAGTTGGCCTTTTCAGCCTCACCTTTCCTCTGTCCTATAATCTCCAGTGAGGTGCGTGAGTGCTTGAAGTTGGATCCTGATAACAAGCAGTGTTACAGCCATTACAAGCAAGTGAAGAAGCTCAACAAACAGATCCAAGCTGCTGAGGAATACATCCAAGAACAAAGGTGTGTTCATGAAAACATTTTTATGAGCACGAGTTTAAATTGAATCCTCAGGAATAATGTCATTTTGGTCCACCTTTAGAGTGCTGGTTTAAGTGGTAAGAGTAAAGTGGTACGGCTAACAGCATATCATTGAGTGTCCTCACAAAGATAGGAATGTGTCAGGAAAGTCTTCATCTCTGTAAATATAAAATAATATCCCATCTGAATGCCGGGGATTGCACCAGCTGTACAACGACGGCTCTCTTATCCTCAGGCTCCCCCACTTCTCTGGTTTTACAAAGAGGCATGCAAATCCCATCTTAACGTGAATGGATGTCACATCATGTTTGACATATATAAGGTTTCATATTTACAAGACTTAAAAGAGAAATTAACGATGGTGTGGTGTTTGTGGGTGCAGTGATCCATGTTGCAATCCCCTGTTTTGCCAGCGTCACATAATCGCCTCCCGCTTCCTTTAGGTATGAAGACGCAGTGAGCAAGTACGAGGCGGTGATAACGACCGAGCCCAATGTGCAACATTTCTTGCTTCTTGCCAAGGAGCGAATCTGCCATGCACTAACACAGGTAAGTCCCTTTACTGCTGCTAAATGATGTGTTAGGCCGCTGCGCTTTTATTAAAAGATCTATCCAAGCTTCGTTTTTTCTTTGTTATGACCAGGCCCAGCAGGCTAGCAGAGCAATCTCAGTCTGTAGCGAAGTCCTAAAGTCCAATCCTGCGAATGTTAATGTGCTGAAGGACAGAGCTGAGGCCTATCTCCAAGATGAACAGTATGAGGAAGGTAAGCCCGACATATGTAGCTGCAAAGTCCTTCAAGATCGAGGGTGGGCAACATTTTATCAGCTGGCTGGACTGACTTGGGCACAATAAGCAAACAGGAACACATCAGCTGAATAGAATCCCTGCATCAGTGAATAAAAACACAATAGTACAAATATATGCACTTTATAAAGTCATAGATTATAATTGTCACTCACTTGCACTTCACAAAATGAAGAAATTTTAGATTAATATTTACCATTTATATTCATATGTAATGTTTCCCATGCATTGACACCACAATAGTTGGCTATAGTTTTAGACTTTCATTTTCCAAAGTCTGATACAAAAAGAAATTGATTTATTAGTGGCCAGTTCCCTTGCTCTTATTTTGAAAGTTCAGTTCCTGCTAACCGGATAGCATAAGGAGGTCTCACCACTCAGCAAGCACCTTGGTAATGCTTGTGTACAGTTACTCGCACACTTGAGCCACATTCTCTTTATCTCGGAAATTGGAGGTCATCGGAAAAAGAAGTGGTGTTTTGTCAGATACCTGAAAAGTTGAACACAATGCTTGTTTATTGGTGCTTAAAAACGCTGCAGTGTTATTAGCTCTCTCTATGGATTGTTTAGAGAGTCATAAATGCACAACAGCAGCAGCATAGATTACAAGTTTTAGTAGCCGTTTAGTGCTGCTGATGTCTTTGTAGCACTAGTTGCCTTGTGGGTTCTCCTCAGTAAGCAGAGTGAGGAGAAACTTGAATTGCTCACATACACACAGTTTTTATTGTAATTAGTACAGGGGGAAAAATGCTTGCTTAGCTGAGTTGCCCTACTTCAGAGCGCCGTCTGCCTCTCGTACTCGGCCACTGTGCAGCCACTTGCTGTGCTCCACGGCGCACACTCTCCTCTGACTCCACTCCTCCTATACAGGGAGAGAGGTTAATTAGCAGATGCATGCAGGTGTACCACTCTCTCCCAGCTGGCACGGCTCCCTAAACACTTCTTTCTACAGCTGATCCAGCAAAACAAACCCCACTGACAAAGTCTGGCGCGTTACTTTTGATAGAAGTAACTAGTAATGTAACTAAGTTACTAATTTAAAGTAACTTACCCAACACTGGTTACTAATGATCATGCATTTGTACATTAGGGTTTATTTACTGTAAATCTGGTGTGTTATTGTCATTCTGTTCATGTCGTCACCATTGAAAGTTGGCCTTTTAAGCCTCACCTTTCCTCTGTCCTATAATCTCCAGTGAGGTGCGTGAGTGCTTGAAGTTGGATCCTGATAACAAGCAGTGTTACAGCCATTACCGACAAAGTCTTGCATTGCAAAGTCAACTTTCCTAATGGGAAATCCAACTTTAGGAGGCATTCCAGCGAAAGGTTTCCCACTCAAAATGGAGCGTGGCATTATTTTGAAGCTTGTGTGCAGATGGCCTGTTCGTCTTCAGTTCAGTTTGGGTGTTTGTTTTATGTCTGTCCTGCTTTTGAGCGCACTCAGCAATGTTTCGATGGAATTTCTTTACATTTGGCAAAAACAATCAAAGATTAAGTCATCAGAATCTAGAGGTTAAAGGTCAGGGATACTGACTTCACAAAATGCCTTTTTTGGCACACACACAGACTATCATAAGACTGTAACGTTAATCTACAAGGATAACATGGTGAACTGTAAACTGGTCAAAAGTCACCTTCACTGAGTCTCGACAGACATGTGTGCAAACTGCAACTTTACATCTGCAAAGTGGTAATTACAGATCAGCTTCACAAAAGCTGTTACACTTCAAATCTTGGAGCCTGCAGCGCTGTAGATGCTGGAATTCAATTGAAGTTTTGTGATGAGAACACAGCGATTGAAGTCTTACTGACTTTATTGGGTACAACCTGAAACTCAAATGCCATTCAGCATAGCAGCTCTGCCTCATAATGAAGCTTATAATGACCAACTGAACTACATGTTTGCTGCTGAGTCTGAAGTTATTTGTTTTATACCTTAGAAATTTTTTCTCACTTTAAATTTAAGAACGGAGCAGGAAAAATGTTTGAAACACACGTTAATGTATTTCAGACGAACTTATGCAAACTACAACCTCAAATGTTAAATTAACGCCTCTATAACTGTTGATTATGAAATTTTAAAGTGGGTGAGGTCTGGACTTTGAATGGGCCATATTTCTATGCTTGTTTGGTTCTTTTCTAGTTGTGATGTTGTGAACTTTAACATTTAACATGCTGAGGCCTGTATAGTCTGAGATGGCGCTCTTGGGGTGTTTTGCAGTATTTTTGAGTGTTGCACAGTCTGACCTTGAGGTGAATTGGCTGGGATGTTCACTCGTAGGAAGATTGGCAGCTGTCTCGAATGTTTTCCACTTGTGAATAATCTTTCTCACTGCAGAATGGTGCACTTACCATTACCCTCCTCAGATTGATGGGCAACAACGGTTGCTTGTCTAAGATCACTGATGATGTCTTCCCTCCTTGGCATTGTGTTGGCGCACACACAAGAATGCTCCAGACCGGGAGACACTCCTTCTTTTATGGAGGCGTTCACATTTGTTGCAGATCAGTTAATCGAGTGCATTTGATTATCAGCTCCTGACTGCTGTTTAACCTGTGAGTTTGTCTGAAAGCGGTACAGGTGTGCTTTTTGCACTTGACTGTAATTACCCAAACTCTTGTGCACTAACTGTAACTGTTGTCATGCTAGGAGCCCAACACAAGGGGTCCTTGTAACACAACACAGTATACAGAGTGAGACAAAGTTAGGCGTCAGTGAAACCTCATTTAAGCAGCTTCCTTCAGATCTCATACCTGTACATAGAAACATATGTAGAGTACATCCTGCAAATTAATTTTTGCATGTAAACCAAAAGTATTGTTTTTCAGACAGAAGAGAGAGATTCTAACATCTAATTACCTTCTGCCTCATTCGATACAATCTGTCTGTTAATTACCAAATGCCTTCTATTTTTGAATTTAAATAAGCACAGTGCAGGTTACATGTGTGGCTAAATATGAGAATCTTCATTTTGAATTTGGTTGAAGCATACAGCTAACAGATCTCAAGCCAGAAAAAAGACAAACGTCACCAACCCTGAGAACACCTTATTACATACAGCATGATTAGAATTAAATGTGGAGCCGAGTGTTGGAGGTAAATATAACCTGTGAGATGTAGACCTGCCCAGCACTGCTGGCAGAGCAAGTGTGCAAAATTACTTGTTTTTCAAACATGAAGCTTCAATGGCAGTGGCAGAAAGTGCACGCACACACACACACAGCTCTTACTATCCTTAACGCTTTACTGACAGAAGGAGGTGGGATTAGGCTGAAACAACAGTCTCCCCATCTCTTGTCAAATTGCAGAAATGATGGCAGATGGTGAAATCTGCAGGAATAGTCTCCCACTAATCATTTTACCTGTCACCTGATGTTCAGCTACTGCTGTGCAACAGACCAGTGCATATTTTTATCAAAATCCCTGCCTACACTTTGTGTATTTGTCAATTAAATTTAAAATGTAATGAAAACCATCACACCCATCTCAACATGTTTGTATACAGACTGATATTGTAATAGCCAAACCTTTGGTGCTGTAGCACTCGAGCTGGTTAGTGTTAGCTTGAAGGTATATTAAATAAGGTATATTAATGTATATGACAAACAGTGTAACCAGTGACTATATTCAGCAGCTCAAATGTACAGACACATTTTGAATGTTTGGACAATCGTTAGAGGGTGAGGACTTAAAGCAATACTTGAAGCATTATGCAGAAGCAGATGATATAATTTTGAAACATATTGGCTTTATGAGTACACGATTAGTTGAGACAATGCAAATTTCTTGGTCTCTGCAGCATTTGAAGATCAAATGATTCATGTACTGGGCTGTGGTGCAGCCCCTCTGTTTAAATTCTATGAAATTAGCTATTTTAGCTCCTCTCCATTTAAGGTAATTTTTTTTTTTTTTTTCTAAATCTGATTGGCTTACCTTTACAAACAGAAGGTTTGAACAGCAGGTGGGTGAAACTGCTCACAGCTAGAGCCCTGTGTCTGAGCTCCTGTGTGCTTCTGTGTTCATTGTGGCAAGTGATTAAAAATACCAAATTGGCACAGACAGTTGAAGAAACATCAGGAGCACTTTGCTGTTGGAGAGCAAAATGTTGCAACTCTCGCTTTAGTAGATTTTTAGTGATGGAGAACGATGCATTTGTAAAATCGCTGGGTAAATTGTGTTTCTGCTCTGCAGTATTAAATATTAGTTGTATCTCAGCTTTAAACTCAGATGTTAGAAACAAAGGTCAACATATGCATAAA